CCGCGCCCCCCCGCCAAGAAACCAGCACCCGGGCGCCCAGCCTAGCGACATGTGCAGTCAAGTGCTCGCAGCGGGGGAGGGCTGGGAGCCAGGACTCCTGGGTTCTGCACCCAGCTCTGGGAGAAGAGGGGGTGTGCCCCGTATTGTTACATTATTGGATTTTAAGGGGAGCAGCCAGGTCACAGCTGCACCCACGGGGAGGGGCGTGTTTGCCCCAAAGTCTGCACAAAGGGGGCCATGTGAGGTGTCAAATGAAAGCTTGTGTTCTACTGATTCTATATCGGCTATTCATGGACTTGTGTGATGTTTGTATGTGGAGTTATGAATATGGACTCTGTGCTGATACTGGCCTGCACTGTCTGCTGTAAAGGAGGATGGTCCAATGAACAACGATGCTAATTAGCACAGCCCCAAGGACAACAGCTCTCAAAGTGGCCAATACACACCTGAGGAATGCGTCTGGGAACCTGCCAACCAGCCAGGGCAGACTGGCCGCTGCCATATGAAACAGAGATAGGTCACTCGACCATGTGACCCGCTCCAGCTTGGAAGGTACCAGGGATGGGTACAAAGTGCCATGAGGTGGCCTCCATCTTGTCTTCAATTCTGCTACTGATCCCAGATGCAGCCTTGCAAGGGACAGAGAGCCAAGAAGGATCGCTGCCCCATCCTGACATAGGATGTACACCAGGGACTTTTAAGCTAGCAGTTTGTAACATCTCTGCTAAGAGCCTGCATCCAGAACTTGGTGATTGACGTATGGAATGTATTCTCCGTAATAACCTGAGTCTCCAGCTTTTCTCTCTTTTACTAATAAACCTTTAGGTTACATCTACACCGACATGATTTTCCGAAAATGTTTTTAACGGAAAAGTTTTCCGTTAAAAGCATTTTCGGAAAAGCGCGTCTAGATTGGCAGGATGCTTTTCCGCAAAAGCACTTTTTGGGGAAAAGTGTCTGTGGCCAATCTAGATGCGCTTTTGCGCAAAAAAAGCCCTGATCACCATTTTCATGATCGGGGCTTTTTTGCGGAAAACAAATCTCAGCTGTCTACACTTTTGCCCGAATGGGAGCAGCATAGTATTTCTGCAAAAAGCACTGATTTCTTACAGTAGGAAGTCAGTGAGCATAGTATTTCTGGAAAAGCACTGACAATCTTACATGAGATCGTCAGTGCTTTTCCGGAAATTCAAGCGGCCAGTGTAGACAGCTGGCAAGTTTTTCCGCAAAATCAGATAATTTTGCGGAAAAACTTGCCAGTCTAGACACAGCCTTAGATTTTAGATTCTAAAGGATTGGCCCCGCGCGCTCTTGTGGGTAAGATCTAAAGCGTAAATTGACCGGGAATTGGTGGCTGGTTCTTTGGGACTGGGAGAACCCGTTCGGGGTAGGTGAGATTGGGTTCTATAGCCCCTCACCTGTGTGTTAGGCCTGGGGCAGATTGTGGCACAGGGAGAGCTGGGTTGTCTGAGGGGTTTTGCTCGTGAGGCTTCCTGCTGGCCGGATCGGCAGCTGAAGCGCTCGGTGTGACTGGGTTGTGACCTGTTTAGGAAAGGTCTCCAGTCTGGAGCTGTAAGGAGCCCTGGTTTTGAGCAATTCTCCCTGAGCGGGCGCCCTCACCCGGCCCGGTCTGTCACACGTGTGGAGCATTGAAATGAGGAGAGGTGAGAATCTGGGCAGGGAGTGGGGTGTAGAACATAAGAACGGCCACACTGGGTCAGACCAAAGGTCCATCTAGCCCAGTGTCCTGTCTGCCGACAGTGGCCAGCACCAGGTGCCCCAGAGGGAATGAACAGAACAGGGACTCACCAACCGATTCCTCCCCTGTTGCCCATTCCCATCTTCTGACAAACAGAGGCTTGGGGCACCGTCCCTGCCCATCCTGGCTAATAAGTATTAATGGACCTAACCTCCACAAATGTAGCTCTTTTTGGAACCCTGTTAAAGTCCTGGCCTTCACAACATCCTCTGGCGAGGAGTTCCACAGGTTGACAGTGCGCTGCATGAAGAAGTGGAGGCACCCTCTCATGGTGCACTGGCCTGAGCACCCTCATGGCCTTTAAAGCTACCCCCACACTACCTCACTGGAATTGGAGCCTCTTGCGCTAATCCAGTGGCAACTCAATCTTTCCAGATGACTGGCCCCCTTTCTGGATTTGCCTTGTCTATCCTCCACATCTCACCTCCCTTAAAAACCACTCACCTACCAAATCAGACCAAAAAGGGGTCACAAGCCCCTCGCCCTGATACATTGCTGCCCTCGCCTTAGCAAATACCATATAAACATTGACCTGCCATTTCAGCGTGTAGTCAAGAGAGCGGGGTAAATAATACCATGTCTGTCTGAGATCTGAGTCTCTGCTGATGGTAAAACCAGGCGAATCTCTGGGGCAGGGGTGGGGGAACCTTTTTGGGGGTCAGGGCTGCTGACCCACAGAAAAATCAGTCGGGGGGGGGGCTGCACAAAAGTGAGAAGGACCCCTCCCCCCAAAAAAACTAACCCATCTCACTGATGTGACCCCCGAATGAGAAGCAAAAAGACCCTCCTTACATTTCCCTTGCACATCGGGCTAGTGGATTTTGTGGGTTCCCCTAGGTTCCGGGGGGGTAGCAAAAATGAGGGGTTCAGTGTGTGGGAGGTGCTGCTAGGAAGCAGGTTTGGGGATCTGGGCAGGAGGGAGGGTGCAGGAGTGTGTTGGGGGCTGGTGGGGATGAGAGGGTGGGAGGGTGTAGGAGTGGAGTGAGGCTGCAGGAGTTGGGGGATCTGGGCGGGAAGCAGGGTGCTGGTGCGCCAGTCCTGAGGGAGGGGTCCATGGGGGGACACAGGGCTTGAGCATCAGCGTCGCCT